GGAAGAAGGGAGTAAACTGCCTAGAGAAACAAAAGAGTTATGGTGTTTTAAAAGTGAAATGTATTATAATTGTCAAATAAAAATGCAACATAAACATATACGTATGAATGATTTGCCACCAGATGTATACATCCTGTAAAGTTTAAATCAGTTTAGGAAAGACTGCTTCCTAAAATATTTTACAATAACATCTTTCAAAATCCTTTCATCTTATTTCAGAAGTACACAATAAATGATTTTCTTCTGTATAAAGTACTTAAAAATGCAGTAGAGTGGGCCCCATCCTCTCTAGTCCATAATGGGCCATTCTTTGACCCATGAAGTGTCCCATCATGTTTATAAGGTGGGTTGGACATTGATTTTCCTCCTGTGAACAAATCCTGTGTTTTTCGTAGATTCACAGATTCCGCAGATGTGCACTCTAAAATCATATAAATAATCCCTGCCTGTACCTTGTGTCTCTCCGGAAGGCCCACGCTCTCTATCCTGTGAGTGTGTACTTACATCCTTGCTACTGTTCATGCCTATTATAAAATGGTATCCTTAATTCTCCTACTGTGCAGAGCCTTCCAGAACTTCCTGCTCAGTATAATAATTAATCACCATTGCTCAACATTTCTTTTTAAAAAAATTTTTATTGAGTTTATTGGTACAATCTAGGTATACAATAATTTACATTCTTTATTGGGAATCTGTACCTTTACATGATAGGTCTTGATTCTCAGTTTTTCCCCTTGTCCCTGCCCTCCCTTCACTACCTCCTCCCTTCCCCATTTACAAACACTTTATTTTTATTTTCTCATATTTTTTTTCCTCTCCCCTATTACCTTTCCCCCACTCTTCCCACTTTCCCTACACCTTTAGCCCTTTACTTCCAATTTCACATTACTAATTATCTTATTAGGATCTTGTGTACTATTATAGTTTTTCACATAAGAGAAACTATTTGGTATTTCAGTTAAAAAAATTTCTGTATGACCATTAAAAATAGGGAATCCTAAATAAAACTAAAAAGAAAAGCAAAAGAGAAAAGGCAATGATGTAAAATTAAAATAATCTCCTTAATTCTGAAGATGAAAATGGTCCCTGAACATATTTAAGTTGCTTCTTGCTCTTGTAGTCTTATATTATTCTTTTTTTCATTTTTAGAAAATACTTTATTAGTTTCTAAAATCAAATGCACGTAGGTATGACCTTACATATTTAATACAGTTCATTACCCCTGTAGAAATGAAAAAAATTTAACATTTCTAGACCAATATGGCTGTTAATTTCTGTACAATGCCAACTCAACACAGTAAATTGGGATAACTATTTCCAAAGTTGATAGCACAGTGAAAGTTTCCAAAAATTCAAATTTTA